GCACGAATTGTCAAAATAAGAAATGCGTTTTTCTTATCACGCCCATGTGATAATTTTTTTACTAATCTAAATGGGAAATAACAAGACGTGTCATCAAGATCAATGATTTTTTCGCTAATTACGGGACAAATTTGAAAAAAATATCTTTGCGAACAGAAATGTTGGTGTGTAAGTGCTTACGTATATAAAATAATTATCATAATGCCAATGGTTTGGTACTTCTGATTCAACTTTCAATTATTTTTGAATGCGTAATACAAATTTATTTTGGGTTAATCCAACTAGTAAATCTGAATTACAAATGATATACTGAATACCCAATTTAGGGACTAAATTAGAATGGAAAATTTTCATTTATTTTCCGTTAGGATAATCTAGAGGAAACTTGAAAGTTTTTATTTCAAGACATCCCACTGGAGTACAAACAAAGTATTTATAGCTATTGTTAGGAATGCCTCACTGGCATTAAAACACGATATTAAAAACACTTATAACACCACCAACTTTATAACATTTATTAGTCTATTCAACAACAGTGTCAGTTTCAGACTGCCCCACTTAAACATATTTCAACACACAAAAAAATGTATCATCCTCTTATGTAAACCTATCAGGTGATATTCAGGCCTGTCCCATCCAGTACTCCCAACAAGATAATGTCCAGGGCTGTACGGAGCTCTGATCCTAACGCACTCCCTAACACTATTTTTGATATTTTCATTGGAAAATATTTTTGCAAGTGATTATTTTATTTACTTATTGTTTGTTATTTTGAAAATATGTTCCCATAGTTGTTAGTTTTTTTCTTCATGACATCAAACAAAAGGTTCGTGTTTTCAAATTTGTAGTGTGTACAAAGATTGATGAAAACACCATGTGAAAACACAAACACCAACAAGTTCTTTATAATATTCATTTTCAATTTGAAAACGATGTTTTTCATATTCTGTATTGAAACAGGTCACCGAAATTAAATACCTTCATCATATCGAGTGTTCTATATATTTTTCGTCCAATTCATTGTTCATGAAATTAATCTTAAATTTTTTTCTAGGAGATTCCAACATTCTATTAAACTTCTAACAACACTAACGACTGACAAACACAAGGAACTACTAGCGAAATTCAATATAAAAGAATGTTCTATCGAAATAGAGAGAATGAATTTCCAAAAAAATTTCATGGCTAGAAATGAAGTTGAATCGAAGAAGAAAGTGATTCCCAAAAGGACTTTCACATGTTACATTTGTTGGCGAAAATTCGATTATTTTCATGAATTGAACATTCATAAATTGATTCACGTCCAAGAAAAAAAGAAAAGGGGGACTTTATCGAACAAGAAAGAGCAGCCCAATAAGAACGATACAAGAAAGCAAGCAATGCATAATTCTACGTCAGAGCCCACACCTTACCGATGCGAGAATTGCGATGTCGACTTCCAAACAATCAACGATGTTAAATCACACCGCAAAAATAATTGCAGATTCAACTGCAGCGTCTGCAATCGTGTGTATAACACTGTTCATGGGTTTACTGTTCACATTCTACAGCACAAAATAAACTCTACGAAACCAAAATCAAACAAACAATATGATTGCCCCGACTGTTCAGCTTCTTTTATAGACATAGTACAACTGAGAAGTCACAGTCTCATATCTCACAAGATTATGCCCAAAAAGGAAAATACAAATATCGAAGACGAAGATGGAGAAGATAATTTTTCATGTGAGCAATGTTTCGATATATTCATGACAAAAACTGAACTAGATGAACACATGGAGTTTCATAAACAACTGGAGACGATTTCTGTTGAAGACGGTGACTTTATTGAAACAGTAACACGAAACACTAACTCTGGAGGTGTTACCAGTGAATCTGGTACTAGTGCGGAGGAACAAACTTCAAATAATAATGAATGTATTCTTGATGAAGAGAGCTGTACTTTCAGTGAGAACATCGTTACCAAGACTGAATTAGAAAGTCTGAATACATCTATAATAATTCCAAAAGAGGAGAATATCAGTGACGAACTGGAAGATGTTGCTGTTCAGAACGACACTGCGTTTTCTGTCAATAGTTCAGCGTCAAACTTCACCCAAGTCAAGAAAAAAACATACACTGTTGTAAAGCCGAACAAATTCGTTCCATACACTCACTATAAATGCAAGAAATGCCAAAGAACTTACATGTTTTTGAGTTCCTTAGAAGACCACTATGAAAAAAGTTGTACGATGATTGAACATTGCAAAGTGTGTGGTTCTAAATTCGAAAAAAATTTAAAATATCTTCTTCATGTGAAAACTCACGTTGATTTTAATGTCTGCAAATATTGCTTTGAAACGGTGTCTGACAGACAGAAACTAGACACTCACATTTTAGGACATTTGAAACATTTAGACAATCTTTGTAAAATTTGTTTGAGAGCTTTTTCCACTCCTGATCAGTTTAGAATTCACCTACAAACACATTTGGATGCTTAACGGGAATGTTATGAGTTTGTTTTTTTCAGTTGTATCACCGACATAAGTCACATCACGTTGATATTTTATATTTACATTGTTTATTATACGTTGAATAAAGGATCTGTATTTTTAAGGATGAAGACATTTTATTGGATCCATATACTTTATCAAAAGTAATACCCTAAGCTAAGACCTCAAAATGTTATCGATGAATTTCCATGTTATTAGAAATACAGTTTGATGTTGAAAAAAATGAACATTTATCTAACAAAATTCTTAGGTCAATTGATATCATTTTCTGAAATATTCTCAGCTGAATGCATTGATATACGAATAAAATATGAATTCTCAAATCAAATCATGTTATTAACTGAATAACGAGAAATTTCAACAAAAAGATTTGTTTGGTAGTTTGAAAGACACAGCCCTTCGAATATATGAACTAAAGTGCTAAATTCTTATTTTTCAACAATAGAATTTTATGCTTTGACATGAGACCGCAAAACCAGCACCCAGTTCACCCGACTTGGTATTTGACGCGGTTGGATGCATTAACTGTACGTTGCGCAATATTTTTGAATTGCTACTATTCAGAAAAATGTTTCGATTCGAATTGAAAATGTCTCATTATACCAATGAGTTTAAATTAGGATATTGAAATTTCTGGATATCATAAATGAATTATTGGTCTTCTAGGTGGAGTTTGAGTAGAAGAATTGTTAACTTATTTTTGTGAGGTTACGTGAATCAGTAAACTGTAGAAATTCGTTTGCCATTTTTTTCTCTTGTATCTGTTCATTGTATTGATAAGTTTTATTTGATTTGCATAGTCATTTCAGTTTTCTCAGTAGAGTTAGGGTTTAGGTATACGTCATTATCACAATCACTGTGAGATATTCTCAGCTGTATGCATCGACATAAGAACAAAATATTCAAATTGAATAAATTTTATTACTAAATGACATGTTCCTTCATGGCTGTCAGTTTTATCGCTGCCCGGAAGGAGCGTTTTGTAGCTGAAAAACTTCATTTTGGTGACCTAGCCTCAATGTTTTCGCTTCGAAGGAAATAATCATTGATGAAATACAGTTTGATCTCACAATTCGGCACTCCAATAGACAATAGATACGTCCAATATCCGGCACTCTCCGCCCGCCTTTGCGCACCCTCGCCGCGTCGTCGTCTAGCAATCTAACCTCAAAATTTATCACGTGCACTTGCATATATATCTACCTGTTGTTTTGAAGTGGGAATGGTGTGTAGTTGAAAATGTCAAGTTAACGGAAACACAGAACACTATATATTTAATTTTTTGTGATTTCTTCAGCAATCCGAACACTCCAATAATCCGGCACACTCTGGTTTTTAATAGTGCCGGATTAATGAGATTCCACTGTGAATGTAATCATTATATAAACCGTTTATCGAACAAACTGATTATGAATTTCAAACATCCTTCGGTAACAGTCCCTTATCTCTGTAAAGCGTGTCGCCCACTTGTCCGGCACAGCACTGCCCGTCCCGTCAAAATTGGATGGGATTGGAACAATGAAAATTAATGGACAACCGCCTACTAGCACGGCACAGCCAAGAGCGTCCGCCGCCGGAAAGGATTCCATCTCTCCGATCCTGTCCGGCAAATAACGGTACGTGCTGAGACGGACTTGCTAAGTCAGCGCGTCGCTGGTCAGTGCTAGCCAGCATCAACTTGTCCAAACGTGCCTGGGAAGTTTCTGTTTCTCTGTTTTGCTATTCCATCAGTTGACAGCACAGTGTCATACGGTTTCTATGAAAATGAACGAGGAAAAATTGAGTTGATTGTCAATGATTGATGAGATGGACCCACAACATTCTTTTTTGTGACTATTTTCTTCTACATTCAATAATGCGGCCACTATAATGACGACTTCTTCATCAGGACTGCTAGTGATAGACATGTTTCTGTCACCAATCGATGTCAACTGAAATTCCCTTGAAATCGAACAAACAGCACCTTCAGTATGCTGGTTGTAGCTGGACAAGTGGGCGATGCTACTACCACCCGTCGCCATCAGGCGACGGACAGGGCTGTGTTGTGCTGTGCCGGACAAGTAGGCGACAAGCTTAAGGCGTTTTGAACAAAGCCAGTAACATTTCCCCACAGTCTTGGAGTATATGAGGAAACTGAAGAAGAATCTGATATAATTGAAATTGATTACCCAAAACATCTAGCTGAAAATCTTGCTTTTGTGAATTATCGAATTTGAAGATTAGAAAAGTGAATTTTAGTGTTTGCTCAACGTTGTAGATGTATTTTAACTTTTAAGTTTCTACGCTTTTCACGAACAAGTTTATCTCTCAAATAATTTTAGTAGCTTTGGCTTTGATGATACTATGATAGCCGTGGACAATTTTCAGCTATCTGCTGAAGGATACTTTCATTCAGGCTAATTATTGCCTGAACAATGAGAAATGGTATGACATTTTAAAATATCTCTTGAATTATAGGTTATTTTAGGTTTCGTGAATTGAACACATACTAATCTTATTTATTTTCAGGATGAAAAATCGTGGATTTTCTAAGAAGATACTTGACAAAAACTGGACGCTACGTGAATGTAAAGTTATTTTAACTGATGTTAAATACGACAAATCTGTGACATGCTATGAAGGGCAGTATAGCATTAACGATGAGCGCAAGAAGTTTCATACATGTTACATTTGCATGGCTAAATTTCTCAGTCTCTCTGATTTAGACATTCATAAGAATTTACACAGCTATAGTGATGCAGAGGATGACCTATTTGAAGAAGATTTCATCGTCAACTCCGAAAAAAGTGCTAACAAGGCTTCGTGGAATGCTACTTCCCCCGAAGAGAAAGTAAAGAATCTGGATGATTCATCAAAAGATTCTAATATAGTTTTTAGTTCACTTAAACCGAAAGTAACATTACAAAATAATGAAGATAAAAATTCTACCACTCAAACTGATAAAGTCAAACCACCATTCAAATGTGTTGTGTGTGATGTATTTTTTGAAACTTCAGATGAAGCTAAGAAACATGTACCAAAGGCCTCTAAAGAGAAATGCAAATTTTCATGTCATTTGTGTAATCGAAAATTCAATACTTTGTATGCTTTTGTTGTCCACGTGATGCAGCATAAAACTAATGTAGTTAAAAACCAGTTGACTTCTAGGTCAACATATGTCTGTACTATTTGCGAGAAACATTTCAACGACTGTTTTCAGTTGAAGAGACATGAAATAACGACTCACAAAAAGAAAACAATTAGTCAGTTAACCCCACAACAAACAAGTTCTGAGGTCTTGGCCAATACAATTGCTTCACCCAAAAATCCGGAAACGACTATTGAGAGCAACGAACAAATTGAAACAGAATTCACTTGTGAACTATGCTATGATATATTTCCAACCAAAGAGGAACTCGATAGTCATACTGATTTTCACAGACAAATAGAAAGAATCTCGGAGCCAGTAATTCCAGATGATACAGAAGCAACTGTTGAAATTATTGAGGATTTTCGCGACAAACATGAAATTGTCACAACGATACAAAAAGCTAAGACAAATTCATACGCACCCAAAACGAATACTGTGGAATTAACATACGACAAATTTTCTTTGGCACCGAATCCTCCGTTATCTACATTACCAAAACAAAATTTAACCGCAAAAATAAAAGAAATGATCGCTCCCAAATCCTCAAAAACTGACGTCAAGCAAAAATCTTCAAAGACAATATTTTTACCAAATATTCAACCACCAAATAAAGCGAAACCTGGTCCAAAAGCGAAACCTCTACCGAAAGCGAAACCTGGACCAAAACCAAAACTTGGATCAAAACTGAAACCAAAACCTCAATTGAAGCTACAAAGAACAAGTCCTACGAGTTTCTCAGTGTCGTACACGGAGCCACAGATACCTTCTACTAGTCAGTCTATGTCCAGTGGCTTGCCTCCCTTACTCCCGAAACCTTTTTTGCAAACGAAGTCGAAGGCTGAAGACCAGGACGCCAAAGATAGTGGAAATGAGAAAAATGTTTCAAGTCCTCATACTACTGAAAGTTCTCGGATCGAACTTGAAACAACTCAGGTACAGAATCAATCTCTTTTCAATTCTACTCCTGAACTCTTAATGAGTGGTGTTTCGAATCCAGGTTTATCATATATCCTGAATCCCACTCCATCTGTTCCCGTATTCAACACAAGCCAATTTGGTTCAAGTACTGCAGTTTCTCTGTCAAACGATATATCTTCTATAACGGCTCCTACAACACAATACGCATATGTTGTTATACCCAACAGTATGTCTCCCAGTTCTAGGTCTATTTCAACGAGTGTTAACAGTATTATTCCCGCTGTAAAAGAAGCACTCAGAAACCAATTTTCCAGTAAACCTCCTGATCCTAACTCGGTTCAACCTATTGTGCAATCAAGTGATGAACTGACTGGTGGGATCACAATGCCTGTAATATATAACGTGATGAGCTTAAACGAATCCACGAAAGTTGGAACCATTGCCGAAAGTGGGGCTAAATCTGCCACAAGCTTACCTCAGGTTGACACTGGTCTCTCATCAGTCGTAGCAGATAACACCGTCAGTTCTAAAATGTCTTCTGTTCGCTCTTCCATTATGGCACCAACCACACCAGGTGAAATCATTTGTCTAGATAGCGAAAGTGATACAGAAGACACTACCAATAAACCAGTCGAGTCCACTGCTCAGAATGACTCTGACGAGGGAGGGGATTTGGTGATCGATGATAGTGCAAATCAAAGTGGTGCTGAGTCTCCTGAAACTAAAAAGGATAGTCAAGCTCAGATTGGTGCTGATGACAATTCAAAGGACGCGGATGGAAATGATACAAAAAGAGGAAATGGAAAGGGAGGTAAACCGGTGAAGGAGAAGAGATGGACGTTTCCTGCTAAATGCGACACTTGTAACGCGAAGTTCCAGAGGTTCAGATCAATGAGACTGCATAACGAAAGGAAGGTCTGCTGTCGAAATTGCGCATTCAAGTGTTGTCGAACCATGGAACTCAAAAACCATTATCTTACAGAACATAAAATATTCTACTGTTGGAGATGTAACTTTTTGACACAAATCCAGGAAGAGTTTATGGAACATCGAAAAAATCATACTTGTTTGAAATGTGGCGGTGTTTACGTTGAAATGAAAAATCACATTTGCAAAAAAGTGATGAAACAAAATCGAGAAAAACGGTCTGATTCGCCGATCACATTATCAGAATGAAATATAAGCATTAAATTACTTGTAATTTACCTTAATGTATTTTTATGTGGACGTCCTGATTTCATTAATTTTTTTGGAATGTGAAATGTGATAGAAGCTGGCTAGAGCGTCATTGAAATGAAAATATTATAGTTAATGTATATATAAATAATTACAGACCCTTTTTTAATTGTATTTTATGAGTGAAATTATATTCCCATTTGATTATTGTTCTGGTTCTATCAAAATGGAATAAAATTACAAAAGATGAAACGTGTTTTCAGTATTTTCTTATAGATTTCAGACAGCAGAATTATAACAACTGTAGAATAACTCCGGATTGAAACGCCGAATGCAGTATTATATTTTACTACCTTATCTCTTCAAATTTGTCATTGATTGTCTGTTCAAAGATACCTGGAGTATTCCTTATGACATCACAAGAGCCTTCAGATGACCCTATAAATAAAATTCTAGAGGATTCATATCAAGACTGCGAGCTGGCCAATTTTGAAGTCCTGCACGTCCAATCCAGCGAATAGGGTAGGTGTTGTCGAGATGCTGACGAGCAAGAACACTAAAATGAGCTGGAGCCCTGTCGTGCATAAAACACATGTTGCATCTTATAAGTACCGGCACTTCTAACAAAATCTTGCTGGTAGGAAAAAATAGGCTAATTTAGGTAGTCACAAATCATTCCTTCCCAAACGTTCAGTGAAAATTGTCGCTGATAATGACTTTCTTCAAAAATGCGGGGATTTTCGTTAGCCCATAAATGGTCATTGTGAAATTTCATAATAGCATCTCATGAAAAATTTGCTTCTTCCGTAAATGAAATATTTGGTAAAAAATTATTATTGTGTGCCATCGTATCAATCAACCAACTGCAAAACATTAATCTTGGGTGAAAATCCCGATGCATTCACAAGTGAATAACACAATTTTTCGAACAGCTTGGTTTACCCTTATTTTTACTGTAAATGAAGAAAATATGGAAAATATGACCCCAGTAAATCAGATACGATATGAGAAAGTAAAATTTATTGAAATATCAATGAAAAAATATCTATTGAGGTATATATTTTCACGGATGGTGAAACATGTGGGTTGGTTTTTCCGAATGTTCAATCATTGCCAGTTCTTTGAATGTCGACGTTTCGCCATCAGCTCAGATGTATCAAGACTTCATTGTTACTGCTCCTTTTTTGCGACGAAACCAGGGACCGTAGCCAGTTGGTTATCGTGAGTGGTTCGTTCTACTCATTTCAATTGTGGGATATTCAATTCTCACTTCATATCCTCTCACCTATGATAGAAATCCTTAATTCGCAGAAGTTTTGACTTTTCAGAGATGTCGTTCGTTACGTTAACGAAAAAAGAACTACCCCTCTGGATTCAAAATAAGCAGTGCTCAAAAACAATAGAAATGCAACACTTTTCCCAATGCGCGTTTCGCCTACTAGTTTGGCGTTTTTAGAAGACTGATAAAACAACGAAAAAAGAGAGGATAGAGGAAACGAGAAACCCTGCTAATTTTCCGAATGAAATCATATGGAAGTAAGGGTATTTTGTTCCGGTAGGAATGGCGAATATGTATATAACTCATGAATTAAGTATTTGTCTAACTGTATCAAATCAACTTTTCTAGCGTACGCTTTATAAAAATAATGAGAGAAAGGAATATTGAATGATGAAAATACCTGATATCAATTTCAACAAACTTTCGTGAGAACTCAAAGAGACAACTCTTTCTGTTACACTAGATGGGCCGAAAAGTCTCGAGACTTGCACATAGATGGCGCTAGTTATATTTTGCATTCACCACTTTTTCAGTCAGTACTCGAACTAATTTTCAAAAAAGCTGTTGAAGTTTCATGATATTTTACTTATAAGTTGGTGAGTTATTGTGCTAAGGTGACACTACTTTTGTTATTTTCAAAACAATGGAGAAAAACCAATTTCTTGTTTCAATTTTACACTGCTTCTCGATGGGAAAACTACCTTTCTAGCGAAGCAATGGCTTGTTATAGTTAAAGTGTTATAAGGATTTCGCTCTATCGGAACCAACAAGTAAATGTTGGTTTGCTGATTTCAAATGTAGTCGTAGAGACACCGATGATGCAGAACGCAGTGGACGTCCAAATGAGGCAGTAACACCAGAAAACAAAAAAACACAAAATTGTTTTGAATTTTCGAAAAGTGAAGTTGCGTGAGTTAAGCTTGTCGCAGCACGGCGCTGTCCGTCGCCTGATGGCATCGCCCACTTGTCCAGCTACAACCAGCGTACTGAAGGTGACAGAAACAATGTCTATCACTAGCAGTTCTGACGAAGAAGTCGTCATTTTAGGGGGGCCGCATTATTGAATGTAGAAGAAAATAGTCACAAAAAAGAATGTTGTGGGTCCATCCCATTAATCAAAATAGGGCAAATCTGGGAGAGGTTCATCATCTTTTCAACAACCTGAAAGAAGACGAGGAGAAATTTTTCCAGTATTTCCGAATGACTCCAGACACACTTTAAGAACTTCTGGATATTCTACAGCCTGCCATTTTCATAGCTACGGTCTGACACTGATGGAATAGCAAAACAGAAAGACTGAAACTTCACAGGCACTTTTGGACAAGTTGATGCTGGCAAGCGCTGGCCGGCGACGGACGCTCTTGGCTGTGCCGTGCCGGGCTAATGGTCTATTCATTTTCATTGTTTCAATCCTATCCGTATTTCGACATAAACAAGAACATCTTGATGATTCTGAGCAGTGTTTGGCCATGTTTAAACATAACAAACCAGAATGACAATGGATGAAGCGTAGACCCATAACTTTACTCCAGAATCAAAACGATCGTCATCTGAGTGGAGAGCAACTGGTGAACCTCGTCCACAAAATCGGCTGGAAAGGTTATGGCCTCGGTATTTTGGGATGTGAATAGTATGTGGCGTTATTGGAGCGTTTGAAGGTCGAAATTGCAAAGAAACGACCGCATATGCCAAACAAAATTTGTTTCATCAAGACAACGCACCGTGTCACAAGTCATTCAAAACAATGACAAAAGTACATGAATTGAACTTCGACTTGCTCCCACATCCACCGTATCCGCCAGATTTGGCTCCCAGCGACTACTGGCTGTTCGCAGACTTAAAAAAAATGCTCACCGGTAAGAAACTTCGCTTGTATTAAGAGGTTAGTACTGAAACTGAGTCCTATTTTGAGGCAAAAGATGAATCGTTCTACAAAACTGGTATTGAAATGTTAGGGCATCGCTGAGCTGATTGTGTGGCTCTTGATGTAGATTAAGTTGATGAATAAAGCCAATTTTCTTAGGTTCGGGTCTTTTCAGCCCATGTGTTATGTGTTTCCATCAGTCATGGATAATAATTAGGTGCTACCTATGTATTATTCTGATTTCAAATCAAATTCTGAATTATAAAACACAAGACCTAAAATTAATGCGAGAAACTACACTGACGGCCTTGAGCCAGTTTTTTATAGTTTGGTTCACGATAGGAACAACAAATTCAAGTGTGTCTTCTAGGTCGGCGTCCGTTAATCTCGAACGATATATGCTTTTAAAAAAATTCAATTTTGTGAAAGATATTTCACATACGTATGTTGAGTCAAACATAGTGGTCAAATTCATAGGTAGTTTCTTGCAATTTTCATGTTTGGCCCAAAATTCATCAGTGGATACCGTTTTATACATTTGCAAAGACACATCTTCTCGTAAATCAATTATCTCTATTTGAAGTGATAGCTTTGGCAGATTCAACAACTTGGCAGCAATTTCAACTAATTCGCACAAACACACACACAGGCTAGATAGGAAACTAATCAAACCATATTATTTGTAGGTACTCTCGAAACAGGTTAACTAGGCAACTTATTGAAGTAAAATAAGTACTAAGTTTAATTATATGTGACTCAAAAATATTATTTCAATCAATAAAGGTATAGTATACCTTATCTACGTATTAATTTATAGTTGGTATACAACATATTACAATTGACGGTCCGAGGTTCGACCTTTCGCAGTCCGTTAGCGGACCGCGGTCCGCCTGTTGCTGACCGTTGCCTTAAAGGTTGATTTTTGCTAAACCTCGACATTTCATATCGATACCGTCTGGCTGTCTATTGGGTGGAGAAAAATATCCCCAAACATGAACCATAAAGTAACAATTAACATCAAACTATAGGTACAACGACAATTTTATTTTTCGAAACGTTTTTTGACAAGTTTGAAACTTTCGTTTTAACCTGGGCTGACAGTCCCGGATCTAAGAAAGAAAACGTTTTTTTTTCAAAATTGGCTTTATTCAGCAGCGTAATCTCCATCAAGAGCAACACAATCATTCCAGCGTCGCTCTAAGATTTCAATATCATTTTTGTAGAACAACTAACTCGTATCTTTTGCCTCAAAATAGGTTTCAGTTTCAGCAATAACCTTTTCATTCGAGCGAAATTTCTTACCGGTGAGTATTTTTTTCAGGTCTGCGAACAGAAAAAAGTCTCTGGAGGCCAGACCAGTCCCTTATCT